CACCGTCTAGTCGGGAAGATATTGGGCAAAGTGAAATTTATGTAGAAAATCAGACAGTACTTTTAACTCATCGTGGGCAGACTATCATTGCGCTAGAATAGCGTATTCTTGTGTATTTCAGTTCGTACAAGAAAGTGAATCAACATAATTCCTTACTTGGACCTACCGGAAAATGATAGTTGGATTGTGCAGATTTTACTGGAATATTATCTGACCCCTCTGTAATAGACACCGTTAGATCGAGAAACCATCATTTAGAGTGTGTATAGTAAACCCATAAATATAGGTTTCCTTTAAAAAATGTTTCTACTTTGGTCAGAGTAGAAGTTATACATTCACTGTAACCAGAATGTCTACGGCTGGAAGACGAAAATCAACGAAATTCGAAATTGGATCGTGTAAAAAAGCTGTATATTCAGAATAATCATCAATTATGAGTGTCACACCCTTAAGGAATAGGATGAAGGAAAATAAATTTTCAAGATTTTTGCTATCCTATCGCGTTAGTTTTTTAATAAACTGGGCGAACTACTCAAAAAATGGGATGCTAGAACTATGCATGCAGACAGTCTGGCGCTTTCCTCGGTTACGTCCACCCTTTATACTGATCTGATGCAATAAGTTATTGCACTTATGCGGCAGCTTCTATAGGCTTGATACCTGATGACTGCATCAAGAAGAGGTTGCCTGAACACAAAGTTGTCGGGATTCATAAATCAAGAGTGACCCAATACATTTCGTCAGTTGGAGTAATCTAAGAATTAACGTAGGCCAGCAGCCTCGACTGATCTTTCAACCTTGCCTGGGTCTCATAAGCATCACCAACAGGACTCGATGTTGGGTTAGGAGTATCGTAGCAACGTCACCGTTCCAGTGATGATTCCGCAAATAAGTGAACTGCAGTACAGTATGGATGAGATATGCAAATAATTGTTGGGCTTCGAGGAGGCTCTTAGTTTCACATTATTGAGCTCACCTCTATTTTCGAGAGTCTCTGATTCCAGCAGAAGGTTGATACGTTTTTTTTATTTGGAATATATAATTTTTATATATAATCGACCATCGTCTTCTGGTAGGACCGATTTCGATGCTTTTTATCTCACACTTTCACTAGAAATGGATGACATAGCTAAGGAAAATTCAATCACTTATCAATGCAATTGTGGGAAAATCCAGTTATTAGACCTTAACTACAAAAGTGGGTTGGCCTTGTTGTCGCAACTTGGTCTTGTTGTCAGGGCGACTATGTAGAACGCACCTAGCCCGAAGTCGTCTGCCATA